GTTTCAGCGTCTTGGGTTGGGTTAATCCCCCGGCAGAGAACGTCGATAGCTCCATGCATGGGGTTTCTGTTTCGACCTCCATCCCCTCTTCACCACCTTCTTCATCTTCGGCCAGTAACACCACCCGCAAACTCTTCTCCGGACACTGATGGCCAGGGCTGAAAGGTCCCCCACAGCGAAAACACAGGCCTTCTTCCCGGCGTTTCAGAAACTCTGGGTAAGGTAGGTTACGTGTGTTTCTTCCCCTGTTCTCCCCTCCGCCGACATTTCCGCTTCTCGCCGTCACATTCCCCGTCGCTCTGTCTTGTCTCACTGACCCACTGCTTTCGGCCGGGCTAGTTCTTCCCGAAGTGCTTCTCTGTGGCTCGGTCCTAGCCACCACCGCTCCTCCACCGGAAGGTCGCCCCCATGGAGATGGGTTCTTGGTTCCGGCCCATCCCATCAATCCTAGGCCCCGAAGAGCCTCTTCGACGTCACGCGCGATCTTCATCGCGGTCATCAGATCTCGCGGGTCGTGTGGCCTCATCTGACATCTCAACTCCTCTCGTAATCCCGCCAAAAAATATCCCAACAGCTGGTGATCAGAGAATTCCTTCGTCTGTCCCGCTAACGCCTCAAATTCCCTGACGTATTCTTCCACGGTGCCCGTTTGTCGGATCGCCGCCATCCTCTCAAAAATTCCCCCACGGTGCCGGCTCTCAAATCGTATCAACAACGCTTCCTTCAGCCCCTCCCATGATTGATCCTTCGCCTTATCTTGCCATAATTTAAACCAATACCCGGCGCTCCCCTCCATACTAATGTGCGCCAGCTCAACTTTCTCCTCTTCCGCCACTCTTTGGATCACGAAAAATTTCTCCGCCCTACTAATCCAGTTCAAAGGGTCGGGTCCTTCAAAGGTGGGCAATTCCACCCTTCTTCTCCAATTGGGTAGCGTTTCGGGACGCTCCCCGCCTCCTCCTCCTCCACCATCATTGGGACGGCCACCCCTGTGATCGTTGACGGACCCCTGGCTCCCGCCAGAATTGTCATCAGCTATTTTGGCGCGAGCCCCCATCATCCGCATTAGTTCTTGGATGTCTTTGCGCATGGCAATAGATTCTTGCCGATTCGCCGTTGATTTCGCTTTCATCCCATCCACAGCCATCTCGATGTGCTCCAATCGCCCCTCAACAACGTTCATCCTTCCCTCCATAGCACCCTCTCTCCTCCGCACAGATCCGGCAGGTCGGACCACTTTGTTAGAGATTCAAGTAAGAAATCTAACTCACTCACACTCTTACGCTCACAGAAACAAACACCACACAGTATGGGATGAATAATGGGTGTGTATTCACAAGAAAGAAACAAGAATACAAAATAGTCCAGGAGCTTAACCTCCTTCACCAAGTGCTATGACCGGTCAACAAATCAACAAATGTCTAACCACCTAACTGATACAACAAAGAGGTCCTTATATAGGCCTCTTTCCCAAACCCACTTAACTGACTAGCAGTTAAGTCCTCTGTTTTCCCTTTCTTCTCTCATAGACCCTCCATTCCCTAACAGATATAAGACAAGGTTATTAGTTACAGGGTATACTCAAACATATGGCATTGACTATCTTGAAACTTTTTAACCTATTGCAAATATGAATATTGTTATTTTTGTCCCTTGCAACTAACTACGGATGAAGTTTTCATCAATTTGATGTCACAAATGTTTTTTAGCATGGCAATCTTGAGGAAGAAATTTACATGGAGGTCCCACCTAGGTTTGAAGTTGAGGAGGAAAAGGTGTGTAAACTAAGGAATTCACTCTATGGATTAAACCGTCTCTGACCATGGGGTACAACCAAAACCAAGGTGATCATATGTTATTTATTAAACATTCAACTTGGGCATTATTGCACTAATTGTCTATATAGATGATATAGTTGTAACTTGTAATTGAAAATGATCAAGCATGAATAGGAGCTTTTAAAAAATGTTTGAAACCAGAATTTGAAATAAAGGAGTTAGCCAAATTGAGATATTTCTTGGGCACTGAAATGGATTATTCCCATCATGGTATTTTCATCTCCCAAAAAAAAAGTATGCTCTGAATTTATTGGCTCAAACTAGTAAATTAGGAAGCAAACCAATAGATACACCTAGTGAACAAAATCACAAATTTGGTGAATCAATTGAAGACGTAGTTATGGATAGACAATCTGATAAAAATTGGTTGGGAAATTAATCTACTTGTCTCACACTAGGCCTGACATTGCCTATGTTGTAGGGGTTGTAAGTCAGTACATGCATAATCCAAAGAAGCCTTGTCTCAGAGTTGTTTAACACATTCCACACTACTTGAAAGGAACTCTTCGAAAAGGAATTCAATTTACAAAGGGGAATGATATAAGCATAGAAACCTACCCAGACATTGATTATGCAGGTTCTATAGATGACAAAAAATCTACCTCTGAATATTGCACTTTTCTTAGAGGAAATTGTGTCACTTTGAGGAGCAAGAAACAAAATGATGTAGCAAGATCAAGTGCAAAGGCAAAGTTTAGAGCCATGGCCTTAGGGATTGGTGAAATACTATAATTAAAAATAATTTTAAAAGACCTGAATATTGATTGGAAGAAGCCTATGAGACTGTATTGTGATAACAATTCCGCAATAAATATTGCACATAATCCAATGTAACATTTTAGAATTAAGCATGTTGAAGTAGACAGAAACTTTATAACGGAGAAATTGGATAATGGGACATTATGTATGCCATCTATATCCTATGGATATCAACTAGCAGATATATTGACAAAAGGGCTAAGTGGTGCTACATTTCAATATATTGTTGACAAGTTGGAATGGATGACGTCCACTCACCAACTTGAGGGGGGTGTCAAAATCCTATGATTTATGTTGCAGTTAATATTTCCTTGTACATTTTTAATTACATAATTAGGAATTAATTGCATTCCATATTTTAGAGGATAATTAGGAGGATTAATAGGTTGATAGTATATTTTATATTTATTGTACAAGATCATTGTTCTTGAACTACAGGAATAGATTATATCCATTATAAATTAGGATTTTTAGTTATTATGTCTTTATATTCTATTTAAAAGTAATTGCTCCTCTATGAATAATATCAAAAACCAAGAAATCATCTAATATGGTATGTTGCCCACACAACTCGTTGTATGGTCTCAAGCAATCACCCCAATAGTTTGAACATTTTTGAATAGTCATCCAACAATTTGGAATGAAACAAATTGATGTTATCATTCTTTGTATCATCATTCTCCCCAAGGATATATTTATCAAATTGTGTACGTGGATAACATTGTTCTCGCAAGTAATGATAACGAGGGTATAGTACAACAAGAACAAAATATATCTTTGGTATAGAAGTGGCATAATCCAAGGATGATTTGGTCATATCTTAAAGAAAATATTCTCTTGATATTCTAGAAGACACAATAATTATAGATGCTAAGCTTGTAGACAAACCAATGGATCCAAATGTCAAACTTGTACCTGACTAAAGAGAACTGTATTTTGATCCTAAAAGATAAAGAAGGTTAGTTGGTGAGCTAAATTACCTCACTATGACCCGTCTCGCAATCGTCTTTGTAATGAGTGTAATAGGTCAACTTTAAACTCTCCTTGTCAAGATCATTGAAATTTAGTTGTATGGATCCTAAAATATATTAAGAAGACTCATGGAAAAGATCTCATTTACAAAAATAAAGCCAAGACTCGAATTGTTATTTGATGTTGTCTAGGCAGGGGCACCAAGCTATAGACCCTCCACTTCAGGGAATTGTATTCTTGTTGGAGGTAATTTAATATCATAGAAAAGGACAAAATAAGATGCGATGACAGTCAACTACAAAAGCACAATATAGGACAATGATATTAGTCACTTGTAAGCTCATATGGCTAAACCAACTCCTCAAAGAGCTTAAATTTGAAGAAAGTTCTCAAATGCATCTTGTATGTGACAATTGAGAAAAATATAAAAGAATAGAGAATAAATTTGAGAGCTTGATTCCCCTTTCTTAGGGTTCTCATATTTATAATGACACTAGAAGTTCACATACAATGAATGAGAAAAGAATAAGAAAGATCAAATCTAGAAACTTGTTACATCACAAAGCACATTGCAGCTTTTCAATAAAGTCTATTTAAGATGACCTATTCAACTAGTGTCAACCAGGAAATATTACACATTTCCTTAATCCTATCTTTCATGAAAGAACCAAACATATTGAGTGGATTGTCATTTTATTAAGAGAAAAACTAGAGTTTGGAGATACTACTATATTTGTCAACTCTAATAAACAATTAGCTGACATATTCACCAAATCTCTAAGAAGATCGAGGATCGATTATGTGTAACAAGCTAGGCACATAATGAGGGAGAGTGTTATAATTATAGAAATAAAGAGTTGAACCTATATAATCAGGAATATCCAGATTATATATCTATTATTAGAAACATTCTTTTTTACTCATGTCACGTATAATATCTTTGTTATTAGGGGATATCAAATGTTACCGATTTATTGTATTTATATCTTTTTCTCAATATAAATAAAGTACTCATGTAGTCTCAAAAACATATGGTTTTAGTTCAATGTTTCTCTCTTTCTTATACTTTAACATGGTATTAGAGTCATTCAGAATTTATCTTAGCCAAAATTGTTGAGCCTACCATGTTACCCGTTACCTAGTTCCTCTTAGTCTAATATCCGAGATGTTCAATCCTTGGCGTATAACTTGAGATATGATCAAATTATAACATATAAATGGAAGCAAACCTCACTTTACCAAATTGGTTTAGTGAAATTGGGTTAGGCTTAAATTACAATTTTTTAAAGTGTTAGGAAAGAAAAAATTTAATAATATCAATTCTCATGACTAATATAAAAGATTTGAAAAACACACTATTGATCTTCATGAACAAATTAAAAACGCTTACAATTAGACCAACCGAGTGCCACAATGTAATTCCATCGGTGCCAGCAGCATTGGCATAACCTTCACGAATCTCTGGAACTTGGTGCTCTACAGCTGCAATAGCCAAAAGTCGAGAATTGTGCAAATCTAAAGGAATACTAGAGCTTTCCCAGTCATCACTGCCCAATATGCAGAAGCATATTTTAAGATATAAAACCAGACGCAGGACATAGAGCAGATAATGATAGTTTAGCCTGAACAAGAGGTATTCAAAATATAGCAAGAATATAAACTACATAAAAAAATGGATATAGACTAGCATAAAAGGGAAGAAGGCTAATAAATAATCTTAAACCCACCTAGCCCCCAACAAATTCCTCCACTCTTTCCATCAGAGATCTCTTACATTTAGTCTCACTCAATATAATGAAGTCTAGAAGGAAAACAAATAAGCAAGGCGAGATTGCCACTGTATCTACATATATAAATATAAAGATTCTTGTTTATATCAAAAAGAATAACATCAAGTCAAAAAGGTGGAATCACCTGATATCAATTGAAGTATCTCCAGGATGGTAGACAGTTGATGTCGCAGAATAGTCAGGTTTGAATGGCTGAATGTCAAGAGAACTTTTCTGTGAAAAAACTAGAACTTAATCTGAGCAAGTAAAAAAATGCAATCTTCTGGCCCTATGATTTCGTTGTTGTTCCATCTAATCAATTTGGTACTTAGAATTCATTCATCTCTCTTTTATCCTATTGCTAACAGCCATGTATTGTTTCTGGCTTTGCTTTTTTCTCTCTAATCTTTCAGGGCATGTTTGTTTTCCTATATTGAGATTCTCCATAAAATTAATTTTGTGAGAAACTAGTCTTAATTGTGATCACCCCAGCCCACCTTAACGCTTTGGTCTGCCTTCATTGCAGCCTCCAGCACCCTCATGGTGTTGGGTGTGGGAGGCACATCCCTTAGTCATATAACCTAAATAGACCTTACCTTTTTAGTCGAGTCCTGGGTTGAGTTAGGTCCTAAGTCTTAAATTTGTTGTATACACATGATGTTGGCAACTGCACACTAAACATCTAATAAGAATATACACTGATAACTTTATAAATGCCTCAATGTTAGACAAGCACTGATTCCCAAAACCAATTATGAACAGGTCAGATTAAAAGTTGCCAATACATACTCCAATCATTAATGTCATGTCTATGAGGGTTTCCCACAGTCTCTCAAAGCAGAGATAACTAGCAAAGTAACAGCTATATAATCCACAAGAAAATTATCAATATGCTGGGTGTAACCAGCAAGCCCCTACTTCAAACACAGCCACAACTCCTTAAAAAATAATGACCAAAATACAACTAAAGCTAAGATACATGTGAATTACAATAAATATGCTTCTTAGTGCTAATATACCATGCTAATACTAAGAGTTCAACAAGTCACCTGATGGCAGATTTCACAAATTGTATCACCCTTCTCGTAGCACCATAGCTGAACACATTCCCTATGAGCAAACTTGTACAAAGAAAAAAGAAATATTGATGGAATTGTCAATTTTCGCAGAGTTTACAATAAAGAGATGGAACGGGAGGCAAAGCAATGGTCAAATGACTGACGATTATACATCAATAACTGTTGTTAGCTATGAGAAAAGAATATAACTATTGCAATTCAAACTATCTCATTTGAATACACATCAACATGCAGTCCAAATTACTTGCACACACAATAACTGCTGGAAACAGCCAATCCTTTGAAATCCGAAGCATTGATTCAAGAAAGAGGAAGTCATTTAATGCAAACACCATGCTTGTACTTTTCCCAAAGAGTTTATTGGTAAATAGCATAACCCATCCGCCCATAGAAAACAACAATCTACTGTCTTCATTGCTTACTAAAAATATACAGGAAGCCACAATCCAAAGATGCCTCAATTGCAGTGCTTACTATCCTCATTCGCACACTAGGGAAAGTTAGTATAAAATACCTTCAAGGTTCCATTGCATCCACAGGGTATGTCCAAATTTTGAATAATGTCATCTTCCTGGCAAATGCGACACTCCACCATTAGGGTAAGGTCTTTTTCGTGATCTTGTTCTTGCTCTTCCAGAGTATCACATCCCCCATCATCATTGAGATGAGTAGCACCCTCAACGAGTGAATCTCCGTCATCGCCACCGTGCTCAGGTTGCAAAGTTGAAGATGCTGCAAGAAGAGGATCAACAACAGATAAAACCACGTGCTCCCGCATTGATCCTGAAACAAAAGAATCATCGCATACACTTCTCACTTTTTTATTTTAGATTATCAGAAATGGAAGGTCTTTGAATCATCAATTGACTTTATACTCACACACAAAATACTAGAACTAAATCAGAACAAACCCAAACAACAATGATGCAGTCAATTGGAAATTCAGATCCAATTAGATGGAAAAATTGAAACTTTTCTTGGTTTAAAATAAAAAAAGAAATTACCTGAAAATGGATACAAGTGAGAAAAGTGTAGTGGAGATAGCCTTACACTGAGTGTATGAGTGAGAGGGAGTGAATCAAGGTGACTATGAAGAAATTATTTATTTATTAATTACTTTTTTGACTGAATTATATTATTTTTTCAGCTTGTAACATTTTAAATGTGCTATTTTAGTAGTTTTTATTTTCAGCTGAGTTTTTCCGTCATGCCTAACTTACTTTATAGTGTTAATTTAGGTTTTCCAAATATTAATGTATTAAGATTTTGGTTCAAAATTAGAATTGAAAATAACACTAAAATTTTGCACTTTTAATGGTTGATGAATGCAATTAACACATTAGAACATGATAGAACAAAATAATTAGACAAAAATATAACGAATTTAACTTGAGAATTATGACTATCTTTTGATAATTTTTTATTATCATTTTTAAAATAAAAATTTNCTCTCAAAGCAGAGATAACTAGCAAAGTAACAGCTATATAATCCACAAGAAAATTATCAATATGCTGGGTGTAACCAGCAAGCCCCTACTTCAAACACAGCCACAACTCCTTAAAAAATAATGACCAAAATACAACTAAAGCTAAGATACATGTGAATTACAATAAATATGCTTCTTAGTGCTAATATACCATGCTAATACTAAGAGTTCAACAAGTCACCTGATGGCAGATTTCACAAATTGTATCACCCTTCTCGTAGCACCATAGCTGAACACATTCCCTATGAGCAAACTTGTACAAAGAAAAAAGAAATATTGATGGAATTGTCAATTTTCGCAGAGTTTACAATAAAGAGATGGAACGGGAGGCAAAGCAATGGTCAAATGACTGACGATTATACATCAATAACTGTTGTTAGCTATGAGAAAAGAATATAACTATTGCAATTCAAACTATCTCATTTGAATACACATCAACATGCAGTCCAAATTACTTGCACACACAATAACTGCTGGAAACAGCCAATCCTTTGAAATCCGAAGCATTGATTCAAGAAAGAGGAAGTCATTTAATGCAAACACCATGCTTGTACTTTTCCCAAAGAGTTTATTGGTAAATAGCATAACCCATCCGCCCATAGAAAACAACAATCTACTGTCTTCATTGCTTACTAAAAATATACAGGAAGCCACAATCCAAAGATGCCTCAATTGCAGTGCTTACTATCCTCATTCGCACACTAGGGAAAGTTAGTATAAAATACCTTCAAGGTTCCATTGCATCCACAGGGTATGTCCAAATTTTGAATAATGTCATCTTCCTGGCAAATGCGACACTCCACCATTAGGGTAAGGTCTTTTTCGTGATCTTGTTCTTGCTCTTCCAGAGTATCACATCCCCCAGCATCATTGAGATGAGTAGCACCCTCAACGAGTGAATCTCCGTCATCGCCACCGTGCTCAGGTTGCAAAGTTGAAGATGCTGCAAGAAGAGGATCAACAACAGATAAAACCACGTGCTCCCGCATTGATCCTGAAACAAAAGAATCATCGCATACACTTCTCACTTTTTTATTTTAGATTATCAGAAATGGAAGGTCTTTGAATCATCAATTGACTTTATACTCACACACAAAATACTAGAACTAAATCAGAACAAACCCAAACAACAATGATGCAGTCAATTGGAAATTCAGATCCAATTAGATGGAAAAATTGAAACTTTTCTTGGTTTAAAATAAAAAAAGAAATTACCTGAAAATGGATACAAGTGAGAAAAGTGTAGTGGAGATAGCCTTACACTGAGTGTATGAGTGAGAGGGAGTGAATCAAGGTGACTATGAAGAAATTATTTATTTATTAATTACTTTTTTGACTGAATTATATTATTTTTTCAGCTTGTAACATTTTAAATGTGCTATTTTAGTAGTATTTATTTTCAGCTGAGTTTTTCCGTCATGCCTAACTTACTTTATAGTGTTAATTTAGGTTTTCCAAATATTAATGTATTAAGATTTTGGTTCAAAATTAGAATTGAAAATAACACTAAAATTTTGCACTTTTAATGGTTGATGAATGCAATTAACACATTAGAACATGATAGAACAAAATAATTAGACAAAAATATAACGAATTTAACTTGAGAATTATGACTATCTTTTGATAATTTTTTATTATCATTTTTAAAATAAAAATTTTAAAAATATAAATATAAATTTTAAAAAAAAGTAAAATTATAATTACAAAAATAAATATAAATATTTTTTACAATTTAATTGTTGATGAATTTTGTTTATTTAGGGTTAAAAAATAATTCAATTTAAAAATATGACTACTTGAAGAGTAAAATTAAATAAAAGAAGGTAAAATAATTCTTCATATAGATACAGATAAAATATAAAGTGATAATTATAAAGACTTTCTATCCAATATAATTTGATAATGATTTAATATATTTTTAAAACTACAAATTAAAATCGTTTTCAAATAATTAGTAACCAAAATTGCATAAAATTATATTTTAAAACTAAAAATTGAATTTAAATTAAAAGTAATTATCAGTTAAAGAAATAAAGTTTAAAAAAATTAAAAATAATTAAATATGTTTTTATCTTTATCTTTAACTAAAATTAAAATTAATCCAGTTTTAAAATTTTGTTTCAATTTAAATTTTAATATTAATATATTTAAAAAATAATAAATTTAATAAAATTTAATTAAAAAATTAAATTATATATTTTTAAGTTAAAAAACTAAATTAAAATAATTTTTTTAAATCTAATTTTTAAAATAATATATATAATTAAACCAATTAAAAACCATATTTCGATTTGATAAGATATGTGTACCAAAGTTACATCGAAAGAATATAGTATGTGTTGTAACTTGTGAGATGTAACATTGAAAGGGACCGAATTGGTGATCTGTCATGGAGAGAAGCAAGGCGCGTAATAGCATAAGGCGCATGGACGGTTACTCCTGATATTTCATTTTCTCTCACATCTACTAATTTTTTTTGTTATGTAAGTTTTTTAATCAGTTTTATTAAACTTTTTAATTTAAGTTTAGTTTACTATTTTGAATGTTGGTTGCAATTTCTTTTTAAATGAATAAATAATATACTATTTATGACACATAACACTTTTATGAAATGGTCAACTTTAGATGATGTATCAAATTTAGTCTTCTATGGTAAATAGAGGTTTATTAGTTTGAAGATGGAGGTTTACGTTTTTTAACTTTTAAGAATTCTTATTTGATTCCTATAAATTAAATTTAATGTATCCTCAAATTCAGCAAACAGTAATGACACGTATTTCAATTAAAAGAGTCTGACAACAATTTATCCTAAGTTATGTTATACTATAAACATTTACACTGAATGTTTGGATGTTTCTATAAAAATATCTTATAAGATTGTAGTGTTCAAATTTCTTTTATTGTTAGATTAATTTATTGAGCATGATGATACCTTTGCATCTTCCACATTTACACTGACCATCGTCTTTTTGAAATTTTATTGTAAAACCTTTTTTTTTCTTAATCCTAAATAAATTCAATGACAATTTTTATTTACTAAAATATACATTTTTATTGTACATGTAACGTGTAATATTAAGTTTTGGAGAGGCAAATTTTAACCTTCGAAATTCCTTTTTCAGGAATTCAGTTTTTTCAAAATAAATTATAACCTAAATTTTTCATTTTTTTAAATAAATAATTATTATTATTATTAAAAAATAAAATATTTATATTTGTGCCTACACTCAATAGATATGCTAAAAGATATAATCTAAACCTAACAAGGTTTATTAAACTTCATTATCTTTAAAATTAGTCTACTAAAACAAATATTTACATATTAATCATAAATATGACAAATTTTATCAATTTGATTATATCATTATATTGTTATTATTATTTATGCTAACCTACTATATATATATATATATTATTATTTATTTAGGATAAGTTTTACTTTATTGATATTATTTAATATCACATTATCAGTCTTATAACATGAATTCTAAGGTCCAATGATCCTGGTATTCTCCAAGAAAACTCAGATATACTTATTTTCTCCTACCGAAAAGATTCTAACACTCTTAATGACTTGAGTGTTGAAGAGTTTTTTGCATGTAGATCTTCCTTTGTATTCCAGCCCTCAAGGAGTACATTTAATGTCCGGTCGTGGAGGCCTAGATAAAACTTTTCTCAGGCCTCACTCTCTTATAACTCTCCATTTTTTTCCTATTTTTCTATGATAATATTCTTCTTTTTGGTTACTTTATCTTTTAATTTTCTAGAATTAAGATAAGAGTGATTAGGGTAAAAATAGGTTTTAAATAAAAAAAGGTGTTAATTTTCCCTTTTTAATTAAATAAATATGTTTTTAAATAAATAGAGTATTTTACTCTTTAGATAAAAATGTTTAGAAAAATAAATAAATATTTTAGGTTTTTACTTTTTCTTTTTACTGGTTAAAATTTCTCTCTTCTTGTAGTGGTGCCCCTGGTCTCTTTAGGTTGTTTGGATTGGAGCTTATTGGATTAGAAATAAATTGGATTGGTGCATTGGCTTCTGAAATTTAGATTGAGGATGTTGCTCCCTCCACCACCACCGTATACTTCCTCTACCTCCTCACATTATTTTAAATACAATTATATCCTTAAGTTAAAAATATTTTTACTTTTACCCTATTTTAAATAATTTGAAACCCTAATTTTACTTTCCTAGCACCCACCCACGGAACTCTCTTCCCCTTTTCCCATTTCCCTTTCACCTCCCCACCTCCCGCGCTTCCATTCCTTTTTCTTCACTTTTACAAAATCATTACGTTTAAAAACTAATTATATATCACATCCAAAATTAAAAATTTAAATAGAAACTAATATAAATATACATTATTAAAATACATTAAAAATATATTCAAAAATAATAAATCAAAACATTTAAATTAAATTATTAAAATATCTAATAAACTAATAAAACAAACCCTAAAAAAACGAAACCTTTAAACGGAGGTAACATCCTTCAACGGATGTCAACATCCGTTTAAGGTAAAACGGATGTCGACATCCACGCACTGCACACCTGGAGGAAACACCACACACGCACTGCACCACTCCACGCATTGTACCACGAGAGCGACACTGCACCACCCCGAGAGGGAGACTGCTTGATAATTCTCTCCACCACCACTAACCTTTGCAACTTGTAATATCTCACAGTAGACCAAAGAAAGAGAGGAACAAGTATAATGTTAAAATGAAATAAAAGTATTTTAATCATACACGGTAATACAATAGGTTATTAGTGAAATAGGTTATGAAGGGGTAAAATTAAAAAATAATAACCCTAAAAATAAAATTTTACTGAGGGGCAAAATAGTAAAGGGGAGGTGGACGAAGAAAGGTGTGGTGGTGGAGGGAGCAACACCCTTAGATTGAGAGGCTAGACTGGTGTTGATTACAATTGGGTCGTTGCTGGAATTGAGTGCACATGATCATTAGCTTCTCCAAATGTTGAATGGGTCGCTGGGTTGGATTCCAATTATTGAAACGGTGCGTTGAAGCTGCCTTTGGGGGTAAGGCTCGAGCACATCCATTTGGGCAGAGAAGATCAAATCAATTAGGGCTTTTTTTCCCCCAAATTCTCTCAACATTAGAGTTAGGGTTCTTCGAGTGTAGAAGAAGAGGTGTTGTTTGAAGTGAGCTCCATGGGCCACTTTGGAAGAAGACCAGATGCGTCACGGCCCAAAAGGGAGATGGCCCAGAAGGATGATCGAAGATGTGTGAAGCGGTTCAAGTTCGACGGTTGGAGAACGGTTCAGAGTTAGTTGAAGATCAATCGAGAAGCTTCCAAAGTCAGTTTGTGATTCCTCCCCCTTTCCCCTTTCTTTCCTTTTCTGTTTTTGAACTTTCTCTATAAAAGGGAGGTTTTGTAACGTAGTAGAGATATAAGTAGTGGGTGACAGACGCTACCTAGTTTAGGGTTTTCATTTGCTTTAGTTTAGATTTTGAAAGCTTTCGTAGAGTAGACGTCGTTTGCTTCACTAGGGTTCTTGGAGCTTCCCATTGGGTGACATGCATTGGGGTTTTCTGAGAACTCTAGTATTTTGTACTTTTGATTTCAGATTTCAATACAAAGTTTATGTTTCGATTTGTTCCAGTTTACATTTCTTTAATTGCCTTTTCAATTCAATTTACATTTCTTGCTTTTGAATTTACTTTTTCAACATTGTTGTTGATTCTGCTTATATTTGTTCATTAGTTGTTGTCTTTGGTTAAAGCTATAATTATGAGTTAGATGTGCATAGAATTGGGGGATTGAATGAGAATTACCACTTTAAGTTCTGAAATATGAACTAAAAAGACCCCAAAGAGGGCTTAACTTTTCAGAATGTCTTTCTGAGAGTAATTGAGATTCTTTTGTCCAGCACATTTGCCCTTGAATTTTGCTTTTACCTAATGTTCTTAGTTTGTCATTTGGATTTCTGGTATTTTTGTTGAGTAGATCTTAGGTATGTTTAGTTTGGATGTGATTTTCCCTGTTTTCTTTTAATTGATTTTGTTATATGAAGATTCATATTCATTACATTGAACTTTTATTATTTAGATCATGTATATAGACAGTGTGCATTAATTGATCATATGTTTCATGGATTTATGTTTTGTTTGCATTCATTCTCAGATTTCAATTTTGATTTCTTGTGCTTATTTTAGTGATTCATAGATTTAGGTTTTGTTATTGCATTGCATGAGTAGTAGTGTTCATTAGTTTAGGTTATATTTTCTGCATTCAGTATAGATATCATACATTACGGTAATAATTATTTTCTTTC